TGCAAAATAGCTGTTTAGTTTTTGGAGGAATAAGAAAACGTGATACTTTTTAAATATTTGCTTACCGCTTGCATCTCATTGGGCTTGTTGGACGATACCAATGCTGAACCATTTTAAATCGGTGCTCTTTGATATTTCTTTAAGTGTTTTCACTTTCCATTTTTGGATTGGTTTGGATGGAGTTGCACAGAATAAAGGCATATCTGCTGCAAATAAACCAGCAAGAAAAGGACGTTAGCTTTTTTTGGGGGAAAGTTGGCCAAACTTTCATCATTCAGATTATAGGACAGTAATTCCCTGGCACTTCCTTTTTATTGTTAACCTAAACAAATCCTTGGATCCAGATAATTTGATAAAATAAAGTAGATTTTTGATTGAGTTTAACATATTTTAGTAGTTTCTAATATTAGTTGTATTCTAATATTATTACATCAAGTGTTTTTCTACATTTAAAATAAGCGCATGTAACAACATCATTACCTTTGGAGAGAACAAGGTAATATGATTGTGAATTTTAACAACGGCCACAAAATTATTGCTTTAGCTTTCAGCTGCAATATTTTTCTCCCAATGGGTTTAATATTAGAAGACTGTGTAACTACTTAGCCACTGTTTTTAAACTAGTCTGCTAATAATTTAAGTTTGGACTAAAGCAGGTCCTTTTGAACAAAGAGGCTACGTGGATTCATTTATTTTCAGAGCTGGGCTCAAGAGGCCATTCAAAGAACTTGCACGGGTTTCTTTTTTCCACTTCGGCGTTTGCTTGGTTTTTATTACCCTGAACTTGCCTCCGAGCGTGGACATGGGAACCAAACAGGCTTACCTGCATCTGGTAGCTGGAAAGTTGGCGACCAAGCAGGTCAGCAAACTGTCACCCCAAGCCATGGGGTGGGGAGGGGGGGTGTGTGTTTTGCTTTGCTTCACTTTGCCTCACAGGCTGTCTGACATGCCACCAGAACAGACAGTGACTCATAATAGGCTTCTTGAATCATTCGTTTTGCATGTGGATGAGGGGAACGTGGTGCAAATTACTGGTTGAAAAGGAGGGCATTTATCATGGCAGCCAGAGGTGACTTTTCCTCCCTTGCCACGCACCCAACACACACACACACACACACACACACACTTCTCGTTTTCCTTCTCAGTTTTGTTAATAGAATCTGAGTGGCTCAGTGTTAGATTAATTAACTGTGAGATCATCAGCAGCAGCAGCAGCAGCGCCTTCAGTCTCACCGAATCCTCGCTCACCCACACGTTTCACTTTTCCGAGCACGCACCAACTTTCCTTTCGCCGGAAAACTCCAGTCTGGCAGATTCGCTCATGCATCACCTACACATGTGACACGCATCCAACCCAGGCAGCGCCGGAAGGGGTTAAGTGTCTGAGTGATGCATTGATTGCAGGGGAGTGCAGGGAAGCATTCTAGAGAGGGAGATTAGAGGAAGAGAGTGCAAGAGAAGAGAATAGAAAGGGGGGGTGGTCTGTGTATGCGTGCGCGCATGCTTGTGTCTGTGCATGTGTGCATCTGGCGGGAAGCCGGGGCTTTCGTGCTTAGCTCCTCGCTCTCTCCCAGCGATATTAAACACGGCTCTGGAGGTTTAGCGCTGCGCCTCCTCCACAGCCACACGCGTCAGCAGCACAGAAACACACACACAGGCTTTGGCACGCTGCATATCAACTCTCCCTAGCCGTCAGTCTCTCTAACACTTGCTCTCACTCTTATACACACACACACAGAGCGCGTGGAATCCCCCAGAGGGGAGCTTCAGCACGGCGCTCCTGAATCTCTCTCCAGCAGGCAAACAGAGTGTTGGCAGCAAGAGAAAACCAGTTGGAGCGTCTTCCCACCCTCCCCTTATTTCTCCTCTTTCACTCTCACTTGCTCGTACTTGCTCACCATTTTCTCCCATCCCGGATTTCCACTTCTACCTCCTCCTCAACGTCGTCTCCTCTACCCGGTTTCACACCACCACCCACACACGCCACCCTTTCATCTCTTGTTATGATCAGCGGGGGCCCAAAGGACGGCCCCGGCAGATTTCGTCCACAGATTCATTCATCTGTCATCTGGTGCTTGCCTCTCGTCTTTGTCATCCCTCCGTCCTCTGCTCGTCCCTCCCGTCCGTCAGCCTGTGTTCTCTCCACCGCTGGCTTTTTATGCCCTCCAAGCGCTGAATGGGGGTGGGAGGGAGTGCGATAAACACTTGGACTAGATGGCTGGCCAGCATTAGCATAGAAATGGAGGCTTGGTGTCGTTTAGCCAGGTTCAGATGAGCACCTCGGCTCCCCTCGGCACAGGACCGCTTGCAGGACGGCACTGTGAATGCATCTGGATAAATGAATCCTGCATTCACATGCATATATAAATATATAGTAGTTTAGGACAAAATGAGGAGGGGAAGGCTTTGGTCATTTGAATTTTCTTGAACGTGAGATAATTTTTCATTAATTTTACTTTAGATTATATTTTCAAAGGTAATTTTAAACAAGTGAAATAATTTTTAGCTCATCTGCTCTAAAAGTGCTTTTCCCTTCTTGTTTGCATGAACAATAAAATTAGATGCTCATAATGTAAAAAAAATAGATAAAATCCTTGAAGTCTCAAAAAGCCTGGAATCTCATTTGATTTCCCCAAGTCTTTTTCCATGTTAAATAAATAATACATAAATAAATTAAACTTTATTGATCTCACAATGGAGAAATTTACCTCTGCAATTAACCCATTCCCTTTAGGGAGCAGTGGGCTGCCATCATATTCCCCATTTACACTACCCTTAAAAAAACGTTACTTAGACCGGTCCGAGATCAGTAACTGAGATAACTTGTGTAAATGGAAAGCAAACGGAACTGAACCGAACTAGACACAACCGAACTGAGCTAACTGCAGACCAGTTCCAGAGGTGGGCTCGGCTCAGTTTTTCCCTGGCTCGTTTCTCTGATAACAAGAGCGCATTAGCAGAACGCGTCATCTACATCTGGCTGCACATCCCCATTGGCGGTAATGCCACTCCAGAAGTTTCTTGCCAACCCACACAAAACAGAAGAACACCTATAAACAACAATTGAAATCTTCTCCACGCAACATTTTAAATAATGGCATTTTAATTAACACCGAAGTACAGCAATAATAATCAAGCATAACTTTCTGAATGTGACGGACGCCGCCATTTTGATTTGCTTGATTCCCTCCTTCTTTGTCGTCTTGTTTTATGGCGGTTGGCAAACAACTTTTGGTGTATTACCGCCACCAACTGTTTGATTTCCTCCTTTAATACTGGCTGTAATACCGCAGATCGCCACTAGAAGGCGGGGAGTCGAGGAACCGAGATAGCGTGATGTGTAAACGGTCGTCAGAACCAAGCTTGGCCTGGTTAACTGATCCGAGCTCAGAACCGGTCTCAGCATGGATCGGTTTTTCAAGGTTAGTATAAAGGGGGTAATAGGGCGCCCGGAGCAATCGGGGGTTAAGGAGAGCCAGAGTGGCAGTCTGTGGGAGTGGGTTTCAGGATTCCAAGCCCTATGCCCTACCCACCACGCTCCCCAACTAGGCAACATCTCCCCATGTTGTTAAACTTCTGAGGATCTCAAAACCAGCTCTAGTTGCTGTGTTGGTAATTGACCAAACATATATGATGTTGAACTAAAATCTGAATTCCTGAAGAATTTTTTGGCAGACCTTTGCAGACAGAAGATTAACTTAAAGTCTGTGGTTCAAGGCATCACAGATAACGCAGTTTGTGTGAAATAGTCTTTGTGTGTTATGGATTGGTCCATGTCAGATTTGACCCTGACAATTTGTTGCAGGTATTAAAACTGGCCCCATCTAAATTTGTAGAAAAAGCTCTGCTTCCAAAAAGGAATCCGTCTGGAGGATCACATTGTCTCATAATTAGCGTGCTCCAGGGATCAGAATGTTGTAAGAATGGAAAAAAAACATGTAATTTTTTAATGGAAAATTTAAAAGGAACCATAATGCCTCCTTTTCAGTTGGTGTGAATTTGAGCAGGAAGCAGCTGAGCGCTGCTCTCAGTGCAGCAGCAGGAGGTAACATTTTCTTCACCACCAGTCTCAGCTGTAGTTCTTTGCCTCAGAAAAAAAAATCTTGCGATATCTGTAACTACTAAGTTAATCGTCGGCAGCGTACGAGAGCATTTGTGCTTTTGCGGTGCAAAATGCTCGTCTTTTGCAAAAGCTAAAGATTATATAGGTTTTTGCGGAAAGGATACTGATGGTATGAAAAACAACGAATAAAAGCACAGGCAGTTTCCTTTATTTAAAGGAATAGTTTTTAATAGTTTTTTAAGCTTAACACATGCTTATGGAAAAAATATTTTCCATCTATTACAAAACGGCACCTAAAAATGTGTTATTCTGTAGGCTTCATATTAACGGTGTTGAAATTCAGCATCTGACCCAAGCAGACCTTGTTTCCACAAACTGCCTGGCAGCTTCCTGTCTCTCTGTTTCCTCTCCGTCTAATGGCAGCAGACACTGCTCGGGTCCAATAAAGACTATTCTGACTACTTAGTGCCGGACGGCCAACTGTCACAGCCTTAGACCAGAGAAAACGCTTCCAGCTCTTAAGCGCCTCCATCAAATCTCTTTGTTCCGCTTCCATTATGCTGCGCTCAGAGCCCAGCCATTGTAGCTGGCTGCCACAGCGGCGTCCGAGCCCAATCACAGCACACAGGCACGCACACTCATATGCGCGTGAGCAGAATCTGGCAGGCGGAGAGCAGTTGAGTCACTCTCGGGCTCCTCGATGCGTTTGGCGCCAGCTCTGGTGTTATGAAGCATTTGTGCACAACTGCGTATGTTTGTCCGGCACCGGAGCACACTCGGTTCCTCCTTTTCCCCTCATTTCTTTCCCGCAGGAAATGTAAAGGGAAGGGCTCTTTGCGTCTGCCTGTGTATGTGTGCGTCGTTTGAGATCACACGTAGGAAAAAAAAACCTTTTTAACTAACACGGCTCTCCTTTGTTTTGTCGTCCCTCTTTTAGGAGGTGGTGCTGTACTGCCTGGAGAACAGAGTCTGCGAGGTGAATCACAGAGACTATGCGGGCTACTGTGCTCTGCATGAGGCATGTGCCCGGGGCTGGCTCAGCATTGTCCAACACCTGCTGGATTATGGCGCAGACATCAACTGCAGTGCACAGGACGGGACCAGGTAAATAAAAGCTCTTCTCTCTTTGTCCGTGCTCTTCTTTGCACATTGCAGACATGATGGTGTCATTATCCACATTTATTAATTCCGGCTGAGCTATCTGTTAGGAAGTAGTGACTCATGCCTGCATGCAGCGTCCTGCAATGAGCGTGTTCGCTCATTTTTATGTTACACCCATAAACTGTGCTGTATGTGTTGACCAGCTTATCTAAGCTCAGTCGGGTTGCATGGTGATGGTTTAATGCATTTTAAATTTGGTCACATATTACCCATTATTAGCCTAAGCTTTGGCTATGCCAGTTTTTTTTTTTTTTTTTTAGTACATTGATATTTTTTATTAAAGCATGACTATTTATAACACAGGCTGTTATTCACCCCACTGTGTGTTTAGACCCATCCATGATGCTGTGGAGAATGACCACCTGGACGTGGTGCGGGTGCTGCTGTCTTACGGAGCTGACCCCACCCTGGCCACGTACTCCGGCCGCAGCCTGCTGAAAATGACCCGCAGCAACGGCATGGAGCGCTTCCTCACCGGTGAGTCCAGTCCTCTGTGTATGTTCAACTTCAGCAGCAAAACTGGAGTGTAAGCTTATTAATGAGCTGGGATGATGAATGCATCAAGAAAATGGACCACATACCGAGCACCTGGAGATTGGTATAAATTGGCCTGATTGTATTGAGCATAGGAAATGGCTCCCAAGCATCAGACCGAGAGAGAGACACACACACACACATAATCAGCATTTTAAAAGCAATTTATCTTTATGTTCAAATTACAAAAAATTTCTACCTTGCAAATCTCATCTAAATCTCATCATCTAAAGTGAGCACAGTTCTTTAAAGTTTCTTTCTCTCAGCCCATTTAAAAAATGGATCAGAAATCAAGGAGATTTTGGATTCCAGTTCAGCTGCAGAAAGCCGACTTAGAAGAGTGGAGATCAGGGTTTGGGTGGGGGTAAACGGGTTAAAAGATTGGTCATCAACTGCTCCCAGTAGCCCCCTGCACCCCCACCCCATCTCTGCTCTCTGTTTGCTATTCTCTCACTGCTCTGACCTCTGCTCAACCTCCTGGCAGGACTCCCTCTCTGTAAATCCTCATCTTCCACTTCAGAGCAGCAGCTCCACACGTCCATCTCTGTCATATCCCATCTCCCCTCCGGCGCCCTCCTCTTCCCCTCCCTCCCTCGGCCACCTGTTAGACAGGGATTCTCGGCTCGCCCGGGTGCGCGTTGCTGCTGCCTCTCGGCTCCTCTATCTCGTTACCTAGCAACGGTGACTGTGTTTGCTCGGCATACGTGAGGAGGAAAAAAGGGCTTCACTCTGGCTGGAGAGCGACTGTCGTTTCGCACGGCAGCCTCGTTGGAGTCTGACGTGCTGTGTGTGTGTGTGTCTGTGTGTGTGCTGCGAGGGCTCGCCTGGATGTTTATAGTTAAGTTGAGTCAACACGGGGACGTGTGTGAGAGGAGAGGGAAATGAAATCATGCTCAGCTGCCTCTGCCTGCCTCGATGCCCAAACTAGTCAGGACCCGTTTCATGAGAAAACAAGCTAGAAAACGGACAGGTGGCAGAGTGGATGGTGTTGAATTTTGAGACGACGGGACGGATCGATGACGGTAGAGCTGGAGAAAAGCGAACTCTGCAAGCGAGCAACGACGGCCCTCCCTCCACCTGGTCCCACTCATCTGGAGGCCGTTAATCCCTCCAAACACACGCCAGACGCCCCACGCCTCAGTGCTGGCACAAAGCCCGGCTCTCGCTTTGCAAATGTGCGTGCTGAATACACACCGCGTTGCTTATCCAGCTCCCTCTGCTTGTTTGTTTCCAGCCCTCTTTTCGCCCTGCGTAGAAATGTGTGTGTGTGCACGCGCTCTCGCTTTTGGCGACTGTGTGTGGTTCTTGTTTGATTCCTGGCAGCCGTCTGTGGCCTCGCTCTGAACTGAGCCAGCTCTAACCCAGCAGAGACGGTCGCTCTCCTCCCCCGCGGTACAGCCCCTGGCCTCTGACCATCACCACCTCAAAACATTTCTCTGTTTGTTTCTCTTTTCTCTCTCTCGCTCTCTCGACACCAACCCTCCCCCTGTTTTACTGTGCTCTTTATCCATTTTTCTGCTGTAGTCTCCAAGGGCAATTGTATTTGCCTCGTTGGCTGTCCCCAGGCGCCCGGCTCTTGAATAACAGGCTTCTCCTCTCTCCTCTCCGCAGATTATTTTGCTGACCTTCAGGGACGCTCAGATGACGACGCAGGGCTTTATTGGGAGTTCTATGGCAGCGCTGTGTGTGGTGAGTACTGATCAGCGCTCTGTGTCCTTTAATTTGTACAAAAGGTGCAGCTCCATTATAAGGAACCTTCTATCTTTGGCGGGATTTCAGTTGAATGCGTTTCTACTGTTTAAACTGCTAAATTAGACAAGCGATTATCTCACAAGTATGGCAGTTATAATTTAAGTAAAGCCGATTTAATCTTTGAGATGTAGATTTTCACTCCAGACTTGAAGCGGAGGAAACAAGTTCCAGTGTAAATGAAAAAAACAAAAAAACAATTATTTGGCTGAGGGATGGTTAAAAGGGGCTACATGTAACATTATATAGAGTAACTCCGAACTTTATTTAAAGAGCTAGCTATATGAACTTCAAGTTCATATAGCAAGTTGGATTGTCGCGAGATCTAATTTTTCAGTCTCACAACAAATCCGTCGTGAAAGACTCCCACTAATACGTCCGTCTCGTAAAGACCAGTGGGTCGGACCAATGACATGCAAAATTTTTTGGGGGCGGGATGTGTAGGAGTGTTTTTTGGGGTGGGACATGTAGGAGT